ATTTCCACACATGGAGTCTCGTGGTCTTTCTTTCCTAATTATTTAATGGAGAGGTGCTGACATCAGCATTATGCCCACGGCAGGACTAGAACTCAGTGTCAGGGTTCCAAATAGCATTCAAAATTAAATCAGAGTCCGAGGCAAAGGATTCCTCAAAGTTCCAATTGATGAAGAGAGCCTTGTTGGCACATCTGGGAAAACCCGAATCTGAAACCTTCCCGGTTTTCCCCTCCCAGTTGAAAGTTCAAGATCTTGCCCCACACCCACAAGTCCTCCCCATGGTCCAATCTCCCACTGCCATGCTGGCAGCTTCCACCCATCCAGTTCCAGTCAGGTGCAAAGACAAAGGATGACCTTGGCTTTCTAGAAAGAATGTTGTTATGGCTACATAGCACCTCACTCCCCCCCCCATGTTCCCACAACAGAAAATGCATAGTCGAATAACAGAAAGTGTGGCAGGCCTAAGATCCAAAAGAAAAGATGGCTGCAGGCCTGACACCCAGGTTGCCCCACTCCTGATCCAACATCTCAGCCACTAGACCAATGGTGTGACTCAACAACCCTTGAGGGACCCTTAATGACTCTCAACGACTCACTGTAAGAAATCATGCAAGGAAATATCTCAGTCTACCCAAAGAGCATTTCCCCAACCATGCCCTTGCCTAGTCACCTCCTCCTCTTCCTCCCCATACCCTCTCTTCTGCTTACTGAAAGGTGAACATAATCCATGGCTTCACGGACATCCTGGAACATGCTGCGGAAGGACATGAAGAGGTTGCCCTGCCTGTAGCCGGTCTCACAGCTGAGAGGGGAAAGAAGAACAAGGTGAAATGAGCCAGAATTCCTCACAGCAGGGAGAGACCAGGAGCAAACTGGCAAACTGGTACAGAGCTCCCGGCCTCTGCCCCTTGGCACACCAAGGATCCCAGAAGGCTCTAAAGCCCCATGCAGCACCCTCCACCCAGGTGAGCCCAGGCCGGACCGGACCACCCAAGGGCTTGAGCCACCAGGCTTACTTCATGTATCTGGAGAAACTGGTGAAGAAGTCCACGAGGCAGGCCAAGAGGTAGGTTTCTGTGGGGAGGGAGAAAAGGCTGAGCAAAGGCCTCCTCTGGGCCAAGGGGAGCCCGAACGTCAGGGGCTGGGGCTGCCTGGAAAGTTCACTCAGCTCCCACAGCTCAACTTAAACCAGAAGTGGTCAATATTTGCCCGCAAAGGTTCCGTGCTTGGGGAATCATTTGCGCCACACCATGAGTAGAAAGATTGTACTCTTCCCTTGTTCCTCAAAGGAATCCATTTCACCTTGGAAGCCTCACCTGGATTGGTGTCACATGCTAAACCACAAGAAACGCTAACCCATGTTAACACAAAGGTCGTGTGTGGCGCAAGTGCAGCTGCCGGATCTTAACTGGCTCAGCTAAGGAAGTTATTATAAGCTTAGCCAAAGTAAGTCATGGGGAAATGGTTTAAAATATAGAGGCAACTTGGTACTCAACTGCTGTGAAACACATCAAATTTGATACTCAGTGCATTTTTATTTATTTTTTAATTTGTTTTTTTTTTAATTTCAATTTAAAACAAGTACAACATCTTTCTTTACATGTTATAGAAAATGTATCAGTCAGTCACAAATAAACTT